GAACAAAAAAGGAAAGTGGCGAATTCTGCTAAAGGTTTACCGTGCTGGATTCCGATGAGAGGCTCGATAATGACGTTTGGACAATGGATGCAGCGGAATAATCATAAAGAGGATTTCATTAGTACGCAATTGGCTAACGGGTTATTGCCCTTCTCTGAGCGTCATAGTTGAAGCGAGCACCGTTCGCACTGTATAATAAGCGCACCGTGGAAAATGTTTGGTTAGTACCAGACGATGTGCGTGAGTATGTATGCATTAGCATAACAGCAAAAGTAGTTAATCGAGCGTTACTTTATCCGTTCGGAACTTTATTCCCATTAATTTCATCGGGATAAGAGCGCGTCGAAAAATAGAAATCAATTGAATGTAACAAAGTAATTATTTGAAGGGCACAGAAATGCATGCATTCAAATTCCAACGCAAGTCGTCCGAAAAAAAAGAGGACGACTGATTTCGACATTTGTAAAACCGATATATGAATGATACAGACCAGAGAATCAACCATAATGTATTGATCCATAATGGAGTCTCCGTCATTATCGGACGGCTCGTTGATTTGCCGTCTGTCAATAGGAAATTACGACTGCGCGTCACGTAAATATTTAGCGATCGTATCGGATAACCGCGCATTAACGCGGGAACATCGCATCCGCTAAAGCGCAAGGATCATAAAGGATCATAAAGGGGATTTAATCGAAGCGTAATTAGTTAACCGGTTATTGCGGTATCTCTTTAAACGTCACGGCGGATAAAAACGTGGCGGCGAATTGACCGCGACCGCGTCGTGGAATATAATAAATCCCCTCCCTCTCGCTCACATGGAAAATGCTGCGTTAACGCGGAGCTTCGCGATGTCCTATAACGGCAATACGCGTTCGCCGTTGATTACAGTTTCGGTTCCACGGCGTGGTTTTGCCCGTTGTAGAATTAGCAGAAATTCTGGCTCAGCGAGCAAAACGGTATCGCCGCCGCAGCGACAGTGCCAGCGCGGCGTATTAATGACACGTGCTTCGCGTAATTTCAATAGCCGATGCGGCACGTCGCGGCCCGACGACGCACTCTATATCTCGATGCATGTGCACGAGAAATACGACGGCTATGCATCGCCGAACGAAATCCGTCACGACGTAATGAGCTTGCGCTGCCCGATGTCGATACGAATAGACAGAGAGCGGAACGTTTATTCGACGCACCAAAATCAAATTTGCCGCGAGCAGAGATATATTATACATAAAGTTCGTATATATTAATAGAATAAAAGGAAATGTTAAATAAATATTTTTAAAAATATGCTTATCCGGAAACATTATGAATTATCGAGAATTTTTTAATAATCCATAATAATTTGTTATTTCATACAACGTACACAGAATAAATTTGTGCTGCCTGATGTAGATGCAAATAAATTTAAAAAAAACACACATTTATTCAGCGCACCAGAATAATTATGCCTTTACATAATGGAAAATGTTTACACGAATCGATATCAAGTGCATGAAACGCGAAATTCGAAATCTAAGAGAAAAGAAAACATGTTTTTTTTTAAATATATCTATTATCGAGAATTTTGAATGTAATAATTTGTCGGTTTCTCTAAAACATATATAACTCTGTGAAAAATGATCTATTACAAATAACACGCGATAAATTGCTAAAGAGTATAACAGCGCACACGGAGAAATGTAACATTTCGAGCAGTGCGGCTTGCGCCAAAAACGTGATCAACGAGCGGACATAATTCGTAGAACCTCAGACTAATGGCCATCTGTTCCCGCGGTTCAAGTAATTACAGCGGTAAAGCGCGATTCTTAATTCCAGCGATTAATCCACATTTCACGCAGTACATTCGGAATGATTTAAGAAATTTCACGGCGAGGCGGCCGCGATAATAGCGCGTGTGAAATGTAACGTTTAACTTGCCCCAAGCTCGGTGCACTACTGTACTATTAGACGCGTGGCACGGCGATGTTGAGAATGATAACTAATTCACGCCACGTAATCTCGAAGAAAAACATTCATTCCTGTTATACGCTACATCGTACCAAGTGCACATTGAATAATGCGCGCATTATACGCGCCGAGACTGCACATTTTGCAAAATGTGTCACCTGCACGCGACAACTTTTGAGACGTACTGTTTACGTTTTGGATTGCCAAAATCCGACTTACGGTTCCTTACGAGATAAACGACTAAAGTAGCGTTTACTCTTCAAAACTTTACGGAAACAAATTAGAAAATAAAATAGCGTATGTTATTCGTGAATTACAATGGCAAAGCGGGAGGAATTACGAAAGAATTTTCATATGGAAATATCTATTAATACATTAGATTCGTTGAAAAACACCCTGCTATGCTCGTATTCCAAACACTTTAGAAAGAAAAATGTTTGTCTTCAAAGCCCAGCGGGGATGGATATGCAGGTTTCCAACTTTAGCCATCTAGGTACAAAGTTCCGTCGCTTTTCGAGAGTTGGAAAAACTCGCTATTACTATTGAGTACCATGAATAAAAACTCTATGTTTAAATTCCTATTTTTTTAAATACAATTCATTAACAAAATCATTTTAAAAAATTGAAACACGCGCGTGCCAATGAGAATTTCCTTATATTCCGCATTTTTCGTATTGCTCTCACTTCCACCACTTCGTCTCCAGATTTGATCGAGAGAAAGAAATCGGCATTGATTTGAGTAAAATGAGAGAAAGCACCGATTTGCGCAAGAAGGCGCTAATGGCGCACCGCAAATGCATATTGCTGAAAGACGCGTGTCAGCAGGGGGAAATGGAGAGTCCTAAACATTCGAGTTCTCGCGACTATCACTCAAACCGTTCGGCCCATTCGCGCTCGCGGTATAACGTCAGGTACACTGGCAGAGCATGTGCCTGCGCCATGGAGCGGCGCAGCCACTTCGGAGCAATTTATTTCGCTCCTTCCCCTCGTCGAGATATCGTTCCGTCGCGGAAAGAGTGATGGATGTTGGGGCGTCGCTTCTACGCGGAACGTACGAAACACGCGGAGCGCCGTTAAGGTCGAGTGCTTCGGATGTAGGACACTTTATACGCTGTTCCCCTCCCTCCCTTCCTGTCTCTCTATTCCATCCTCGCGTATTTTAGATCCAATTCTCAATAATGAACACCAATTTACCGTCGACATGGCGTGCCCACACGAATTAGTTATATGCGCGAGAGATAATGCAAAAAGAGAGTAATAAAAGAATCGTTTCTCGCTTTAAAGAAATGCAAGAACAAACGACGAAATTTTAAAGAGACATTTGCTGTTTACCGTTAGAAGACTTTTCATCAACTATTCCACACGTTAATTAAGAAAAATTAGCCGGGTTTTCGCGCGCAATCTTGTCAAACGTTGTAATTTCGATAAACGGAAAGTTTATAACATGTATTTCCATTTACCTTTCACACTGTTATGAGATTATAATTCGCATAAAAGTTAACAAAAATATTACTCTTAACAAGAAATACAATTAAAGCTAACTTTTCAGAATTATATGTAAATAAAAATATTTAAGAAACATTTTTGAAAATCAAGATATCAATAGTATATTCAATATAATATTGATCGATAGAGTAATATAAATATTATTTTATATAACCATACATTTAGCCGACCACTGTTTCAATAAATCAGAGTGCGTCGGTCTCTCGCTTCAATATTCTATTTTAGAAATGCGCAGTACTGTTAACAAAAATGTAACATAAAGAATTCCATTTGCTGTTATCAGAATGTTTGAGATTCGAAACATGATTACCCAAGTGTATCGTTGCTATATTCGAAATATTCGCGGCTGGTGAGGCGGGGTAGGACTACAGTATCAACCTCGAGTAACCCCGCCAAAAAAACTTCACGTTCCGCCGCACTAATAATTTTATTCCACAAAAACGCCCAGTATTTAAATATTCAATATTCATATATTCGATGTAAAAACATTCGTTCGGGCTCTCGCGTGTAGAACATCGCAAATATATGAAAAATTCTCGCGGGCTACGTAAACAACGTGAGAGTAACCAACAACGGATTACAATAGATTCTAAATTAGCTGTAATTTGAATAAAAATCAGCGTGCTTGCCGTGCAGCGCACGGTATAACGGATTGAAATATCTGCAGGCTCATTTCGCGCGTTGTCCCGAGTTTCATATTTGTGATATGATGAATGAGCTGTTAGCAAAATAGAATGGAGCCACGAGAGCGGCCAATGAGAAATCGCTGCGTTGCATCACCGGCGCGCCTCGCGCTTTAATAATTTAACCGGGATATCACGGTCGATAGCTTTGCATTCTTTTTCCGTACTCGGATAGCAAAAGGGCCCAGTTATGTCGTTCATTAAGGTTTACAGTCACCGACTCGTAACGGGAATAACCCTTCCTCGACAAGGGAGAATCCGCGGATGAGTGGGGGAAGGTGCATGACCCCGCACTCGCTACAACCTCGCTATCATTACACGACCCGTAAGCAAACCTCTCGGAGAATGCGGCTTGAAACTTCACGAAAGGGCCTTTAACCCTTGTGGCGCAGTGGTTACTACTCAATCTGTGAAGCGTCGCTCAATATCGATATTCACACACATTACGCTTTACTGCGAACAAGAACACGGGGTCAAACAAGGATAAGTGTCAATTCCAAATCGTTAGCACTTTCTCGATTATGTTTCCTACTAATTGCTCCTAAATCACACTAATTGTTCCTTTCTCTAATTCTCATAAATTTCTTATTATTATTATTTCTTAATCGACGATTATTTCTTAATAATTCGATTCGATAAGCTCACGTATCGCGTTGGAAACCGCTGTTTATCAACAACTATTCAAATAATATTGGAAATTGAATAGATATTTGCATCATTAGACGCATCTTAACGAGTTCGAGCGGCGGAAACTGTGCTCGTATCGATATTTCTCATCGTAAGATAAAGATAAAATAATAGAGGACGAGATAAAAACACATACACATATACACTACTCAACACATGATCACAATCACTCACCTAGTTGGACGTACATCTTCGGCCTGACGTTTTCCTGCCATGCCGCCAGGGTGAGAGTGACTGTCGCGATAACGCACCAGCAGGACAGCAACGGGTACATCCTGGGAGCAACACAGAGGCTGGCGCGCCTCATCTTCTCGCGATGGTGTTGCAGCGGCGCTCGAAATGACGTGCCAGGGTTTGCAGTCTTCGCCGCGGGCACCGAACGATTGGAAAACGGCACACGCGAGAACGATACTCAAGAAAGAATCGCGAACACGTACCGCACACCGTATATATCACCGTCACACTGTACGCCGCGCGCGATGGAACACGCTCGGCAACGACAACGCCCGCGACACCGTGGTGCGCGAGTTAACCTATAATCCACTGGGTTGCGGAAAGTGCGCGCGTTGCTTTCTAAACACTCACTGCGCCGGGAGCTGCGCGGATGCTGCAGCAGTCACGTGCAGCGCGACCTCGTCGTTCCTCGTTGCGGTCGTTGCATCCACGGTCGTCCACCGGCGGCCCGCCGAACGCATGTTTTCCCGATGACGACGATCGGCCGCCTCGCAGCGACCAAGCGATACATTCACGAGACGAATGGCGCGCGTTGGACACGCGCGCCGCAATGCACGGCGAAAAGGGCGACGCGAGTACAATTATACAGCCGGCACTCGCGCTCACGCGTAAAAGCGTCCACGCGCGAGTTGCGTTTAATAAGCGACGTACGACTTTCTATGGAACGATTAAAAACCCACACGCGTATCGACCATCTGCACCCACCGACGGTCACCGTCACACTGCTGTTGCGACAGGTGACACACGTTCCCCACCAAGCGGCGCTCTCCCTACTACGCCGTCCAACGACGCGACCCCACTATGTCGAATCCTGCTGGCGCAAGCGCGTCCGTACTAATGCGGATCTTTCTCTCTCTCCTTCCGTCCGGAACCGTGTCTGTATGCGTGATTACGCGTGAACCAGCGTACGCGTAAGCCCGATGTGCACGCACGTGGATATGACGGTGAAACTCCGCAGGCAGTATATGTGGAGAATGGGGGAAGATAGGGGCAGTAGATCTCTAGGAGGGGACCACGAGAGAGCGTTTGAGGGGTTGAGAGCCCGAGGGAGGGTGACCGGGCAAACGCCGATTTTCAACCCCACTACCCCCGCCGCGCGATCACGCCGTTGTCTTCCACGTCGTCGTCGTCGTCGTCGTCGTCGTCGACGTTGGTATCTCGCCGACGTAGACGCCGCAGCGCCGCTAACCTGGAACGAGAAAAAGAAGGATCGTTATTTGGGTCGATTAGGGACGCTTTAACCCCCTGACGCTCGTATTTTGTTGCGCTACTTTAGTGACGTCTCGTCGACTACTTGAGAAACTTAATTCGAAACAATCGTGTCGCAAAATAAATTGTTATCTTTGGATAATCGTAAAGGCATCTCCAATAAAGTATTTGATGCATTCTTACTTTTCAATTATGTTTAGAAGGAAGCAAATTTTATTTCAAACTTAATCGTCAAGCTGGTTAACGTGGAAAGATTAAGTCGGAGTTTAATAAAATATTGCTTCAGATTCAAAATTATTTCAACGGCTTATCAAAACTTATTGTGTAAAATTTTTATCGCACTTCAAACGAATCAAATTTCATACTCTGATATTACATAGAGTTTGAAAACCGCAAAGAGTGGACGAAGAAATCCGATTACGAGTCGATTTCGCGTAAGCGCACGCGTCTGCGAATCCCGCGGGATCCCTATCCAAATAAGGTTTCATCACGCAGAAAGTCCTGACCGCGGCGGGATAACGAAATTATCCAAATGCGACTGATTCGTCAGCGAATTTTATGAACGTATCTCGTATGCACGCTGTGTAGCGACGCCGCCGACGTTGACACTGTTCATTAATTTGGCGAACCAAGTGTAGGGATGCCAGGAGTGGATGGACACCACGGAGGGGGAGGTATGTGTGCATCGAGACTCTAATTCCTACACCAATGATTGGACATGCCTGCACGAGGGAATTCGCCGGGTGTCCGCGACGTGTACACGCAATTTCGCATGGATGTGCGTGTCTGCGCGTACCGTCCAGCGGCGCATCCTCCAATATTCTCGCTCCTTTAATCACCAATCCGCAAAAATACGCGCAATAAACATAAATAAATAAAATATGTAATTCCAACCATCCGGCTTTTAAGAAAATTCCAAGAAACATTCCTTTCTTAATTTTTTTTTTATAAAAAATAAACGGCTTCTATTAACTTATAGTCGTTCCAACTATTTTTCTACGGCAATTTTAATTTAAAAGCAGATTGCAGTTGGAACCGGCATATATCTGGCTTATTCTTTTGATTTTGAAATTAATGCAGAAAAAGAACAAGTGTTATGACATGTTGCTTTAAAGTCACATTAAGATACGAAAAGTACCTATATAACGCATGTTAAATCCTCACATGAATTTTCATGCCGTAATATTCATGGCGGCCGTTTATTTCACAATTAGTATAACCACCGAGCAAATGGAGTTATTCGCCCGTATGTTGTTTCATTCGTTTGGAACGAGCGATGCGAAAGAACAATGTGGAACGTGAACTAGCACGATATTAATAAAAAAGAATCCGACTGTCGTGAACATTACCTGGCGGCGTTCGAAAAAAACATACTTCAAATGAAGCGCACAACGTTGTTTTTAATTTTAATCTATCCATTCTATAAATTTTTCTATGAAATGTACGAATTTTATGGATAATATTTCAATATATAAGAAATATCTTTCTTTCGCGAAAATGATAAAAATTTGTAGCTTTGATTTCTATCTTATTCGTGCAAAACGAAATATAATGGAGTATATGTATAGTGTAAACCATCTAAAATAATAAGTGCTCATAACAAGAGGAGAAATGACGCATAAAAGATACGTGCGCCACAATATTACCGTCAATCGTAGCATATGTACGCGCTTCGTTTATAAAGCGATTTAAACTGGCATTACGGCTTACATCATCATATCTAACGGCTGCTGTAATCGCTATTATTACAAATAATACGATTTCGCGTCATTCATATTGTATATATCTCGATGAAAATCGTATTTTATGTAAACGTGTATAATTTTTGGCATGCATGGTACAATTATTGTACTTTAAATTAGCATTTCACATCTGAGTTTAATTTATTGATATGTTGTTAAAATGTTTAACGTTTCATTTTTTAAATTCTTCTGGTACTATTAAATATTACTGGCATGTAGAGAAGCTAGAATCGCAAACTCTTTGAGCGAGCTACAAAGGGTGTAGGAGAAGAGCTCCAAAGTCAAAAGGGTGCTTCAATGGTCCCTCAAAGTAGCGTTGTAAGCAACGCTATAGACAGCGTGCTAATGAAGATGAAGAAACGGAGATTGAATACATTGCGACGTCGAGGCAACGCGAGCTCAGAACGGCACTCATCCATAAATGCGATTCGCTTTACGAAACTCACTATTACACCTCAGTGGATTAGCGTGTCACTGGATTACTCGAACATTGAAGAGAGACGTAACGCGTTTCTAGTGTGTCACGAAGTGTTTTGTCTCAACCTTTTGTTGCTACTCAGAAGAGATTATCGTAGCATGTCTCGAGAAGGATACATACTACTACTTACAAGAAAACTCTTCATATAACTTTCCTAATCTTTTAGTTTATTAATTATGTTCAAGTGTAATTTAATTTTCAATTATTAAATTTATCCTCGTGCTAAGGCTGTAATTTAAGACTTTATCAATGAAATCAAAGCATTTGCTACTAACAAAAAAAAAAAAAAATATAATGAAAACTGCTGCACTTTTTTTGAAGTATCTGAGGAGTATAGAACGATCGCAAGAGATTTGAAAAGACGTTTGCCGAGAAAGCGCGAAGAGATGGGCGCGATAGTTTCAGCGAGAAGAGGCGTAAAAACTCAAGAAGATTCGGGAGTAGAGCTTCACAGAATATACTCTCGCGAAATCGTCCCGTGGGAGTGACTTTGTCCGGGTCGATTTCGCGCGCGTTTAACATCGTGCGAGTGACGACGGAAAAGTGCCGGCTGGCAGGCAGTCAGTATTGTCTGAGGGGCGCTGCGAGAGGGACGAGGTGAGGGACGAGAGTGAGGATCGATAACCGAACAATGGGGAAAATCCCGGTGGAAAACGCGCGGGATACCGATGTCGCCGAGGAGAACGAAGAGAGAAAGAGGAGGAGTAGGAGGAGTAGGAGAACGTGAGAGAGAGAGAGAGAGAGAGAGAGAGAGAGAGAGAGAGAGAGAGAGAGAGAGAGAGAGAGAGAGAGAGAGAGAGAGAGAGAGAGAGAGGAGAGAGAGAGAGAGAGAAAATTTGCGGCTATTGGATGTGGAACTTAACTCGATTAAGTTTCCAGTCCGACTTACGAAGTGCGTATTAAAGTATGGGAATGGTGTTTCAGAATAAATTAGTTCGGGCACTTAAGACGGCTTCACAAGCGCTGCCGCGTCGCTACTCTGGTCGCGATGCATCCTTCCTTTTTCTCCCATTCGCGGCTGCTGCTAGAGACACGTGGAATTTCGCGAGGAATCTTTCCCGGGCGGAGTAAAAATTAGCGTAGATAAAGGTATCTGAAGTCTAACGAGTCTCTCGTAAGGGGGGTAGGAATGCGGTAAGGTTGGTAAAAAAAAAAGCACGGTTAACTACCGAGGAGCAACGCGGAAAATTCCTGCGGACAGGACGAGTGAGAGTCTGAGGAAGGGCGAGAGGACGACTCGTGCCTGTGGCGAGTTACGCGCGAGCAAAGAGCTCGGAATAAAACTCAATTAAGTGCGGCCGAAGTTCAACTTCCGTCAAACGTTAAATAAAAAGGATTTTCCGGATAAAGTTAATTAGCCGATTTAAGCTGGAGTACTTTTGGTACACGCGGGACAGATCTTTCGAATAAATAAAAAAAAAAAAGAGAAAAAAAGGACTAGTGTCTGTCTCTCGCGGGGCGTTAAGGATAATAGATATCCTGGATCGTCCTATTTTAGTTTTTCAAGTATCGAAAAGAGGAACGGCAACTTTCCTTCCTACGAAGTTTCTGGCGGGTGAAGAAAAAGATACTAGATACGGCGAAACTTCCCGATAGAACGATACAGCTCGGCAGCTGAGCTCTGATTAAAATCAATTAAAGCCATTAGCACCCAATATTTAAGTTTCTCGCAGTCTTTCGACTCTGTCTCGTGAAATAATGGAAACCGATCGAGGCCGGTCTCCGCCACAACAACGAAGCATTTCCCTTCGGTAAATCCGATTATGCGCGAAAGAGCAAAACGAAATATTTTGTAAAATGTCGCAAATATCGCGTCGACACAGCTAAACACAGCCATTATACTTGAAGCGGGTACGCTTACAGCTGCGAACTTCTCATTGAATTGCTCCACATAGATCGTAACGGCCGGTGATTTTTATTAAAAGGAAAGAAGGGAGGAAGAACCAAAAATAGAGTAAAAAAGCACGCGCTTGGTCGAACGGCGGAAGAGATCCGGCTGGAAAACGCGAGTTGCTGTGGCGCTTTTCGGGAGGGAGAAGTAAAGGGAGAAGCTCTGACCGGCATGGTAGAAGGTTGTGAAGAGACGGTTGCAGCAAAAGTCGCGGTTGTTGCAGCGGGGGCAGTCGAGCGATCGAAGAGCGTGGAACAAAACCCAATTAAGTCCGCCGAACTTGGACTTCCGCGGTAACGTTACACGAAAAACATTTTCTGGGTAAAACGAGTTAGGCCATACGAGCATGGATCGCGCACATGCCATCGGCTTGCCGCCATGCAGCGTCGAATAAAAATAAAAACAAAAAAGAAAAAGAAAAAATAGAGAAGGCTAAAAAGAAAAAAAAAAGAAAAAGTGAAAAAGATCATGCGATAAAATAGAAAACGTTTTTCGCGCGAAACGCGAGCGAATACTCATTCAAATGAATGAAATACCCGTCTGGAAAAAAAATCAAGTAACGCGTGAAAGAGTTGCCATTAAACCGTTAGCCATTGAAGCCGCTTTAGGATCGTTAAATTAACGCATAGCCGCGACAGAAATGCGAGTTGCACGAGTTTCTTTCGCGGTCGCGAATGAAAAGCGTTTCGAAGGAGCACTCTCGAGTTCTCTGGATAAAAATTCAGAAATCAATTGACGGCGAACAGCGCGATCCGCTTTTTGCGAGTCCCAATGTGTCACGCTTATCGAAAATCGTTCGCCAAACGGCGAACGTCGGTCAGAATTGAAATCCTTTAGCGACCATGGCCCGTGATATATAACTAACCTAC